ATATCCGAGCGATTTGGATAATCCGGATAATCGGATACGGATAAACGGATGACGGATTTATCCGGATTGGAACTCTACATACCTCAATGAATTTATAAAGAATCTGATCGGCCCGGTTTGGTCAAACAGATAAATCAGAGTCCATTAAGGTAGGCGATTGTGAATGCCCTAAGTGTTTCGCCATTATACAACCTGGAAGCTTAAAATAGCCTAAGAACTAATTGTACGTATACATTCAATTAACTGCAGTTAGGGATGGGCAAAATTGGTATAATTGAAAAGATTATAGAATAATAACCTTAATTTTTTATAAGAATATTATAAAAATCATACCAACTTTGCCAATTCTTAACTGCAGTAGAATTTAATTTGTCATTCGCGAAATATACAAAAAATAAGTATATAAAGAATAAGATATAGACCAAACACATAAACTTTATTTCCGTATTATAAACTACCATAATATCTAAAGCACTAATTTGAATTGTTTTTTAATAATTTATTAATGGAAATCCCAGAAGACTTGGAACTCTTTTTTGAGACTCTAAACCTTACCTCTTCTACAATGGATCTTGGTGATGGTGATGATAAAACAGAATTTGGATCAAAATCTAGTGACGAAGGTAAAGATACTACAGATGAAGAATCTGAAAGGCATCAAATTGCCATCAATAAATTAATCAACAAACTAAAATTATGCTATTTGTGTAAGAAGAAGTGCAGCGATAAAGTTTTGTCACAATCTTTAGTATCGGAAAGTATTAAAATGAACAAATAACAACGAAATTATTCAATAATGATACTTATGGCTTCTTCTAATAAAGGACCACACAAACAACAATTCCACACCAAATATCAACTGCCATACTTTAGTGAGGTTTGTGGTTCCTTTTTTCGAATATTTTGGATGTGTGGTAGAGATGCATTTTATCGTCTTCGTAGATGGGTTCAAGAAAAGCAATCAATGCTTCCCCGACCTCATAAAAATATTGGCCATTCACCTGTTAACAAGTTACCTGTTAAGACAGTTGGTGAAGTAAAATCTTTCATTAAATCAGTCAGAGAACAACATGGTAAGGCATCGGCAGTTCGGAAGTATACATGAAAGAAGGTGGATAGACAAATTACCATGCAATATAAAAAACATGATTCTGTTTTTCTTCCATCTCACTATTCAAATAGTCGCCTTTCTGCTTTTTATAACCTAATAAATCTGAATAACCCCATAAATTGTTGGACCTTTTGAAGAATATAGAAAGATAATAATGAGCTTAGCAAAATCATTATCAGAAAGCCATTTAAAGATGGGTGTGATGAGTGCACTCTTTTTAAATATTCATTAAAAGAAAGAA